CCCCGCTCGAAGGAAAATGTTTGGGTGAAATGGTAGGCTCCCCTAGGTGGGCGGTCGTACCGAGACCATTCCCGGAGGGATGACACCACCATTTCACACATCACGATGCTGTACCCTGCTTCCAGCTACCAAAAGGACTCCCCAGCTGGGGACGCCCAACATACGTCATCCCCTAAAACCAGTGGACCTTGAAGTATCAATCTAGCACAGCGATTTCGTTGTGTATCGTCCTCTTCACTCATATAAAGCCCCCATCGTCGCCATCAAAACGTCCGCAACCAAGGTACATACGACCTGCTCACGCCGAAGCCAGAGGTGCTAGGCCGGGAGATCCTTAATATGTTCCTGCATTAAGGGGAAACACGGCGGCTGCCGGGAGCAGTAGGTAATTCTGTATAATGAGCAATTGCATAGCGTTCCCTATGGCGACCAGTTCTGAGAATTCAATATCATTAGGATGTCGACGCCAATCTTGAGTGTTCGCCAAATTAACCCAATATTGCGAAGCACTAGCGGGATAGGGAAGGGCGGCTCTAGTCGATTCCACACGTCCTTTGCTTCCTACTATAGCATCGAGCTGAGGGCCTCCGGACATCGGCGCTCTAATTGGATTCATTGACGGCTCTGACGAATTGGGCGGAAATAACGTGATGTCCTCATGCATAATGGGCACTCATTCGACTTCTTAGTGAATAAGAAATGGATATGAATAGGTAATCGAGGGGCGGGAGCAGGGAAAAGGGAAGATACTCTAAGTCGCAATCAATATCCCCTGTTCTTTGCTGGAATCGGTTACACTGGCATGGAAAGGGTGCAAACATTGATTGATATAAGTAGTGTGGACCAATGCATCGATCGTTTTAACAAATCAAGAGAATAACCATTCCTGTGTGCACGGCGCATACTCAAACTGACCACAATCCAACCCATTCGTAGAAATACGATAATGCCGAAGATGTTCACCATGACCGTTGTGAACACACCATCCCACGCTGCCGCGAAAGCAAGTACGGCTGATTGAGCAGAAAATTCCTAAAATCTCTTAATCGAATAATAATATGAATAAATGTCAAATAATTAAAAATTAAATAAAAATACAAAATAATAAAATAAGAGAGTAATAAATAATATTAAATATGAAATAATTAAGTAATAATAAGTAATAAATGTAAAAACAAACAAAGCGAATATCAATAAGAAATAAATGACTTGTGTAAGCTTGGGAGGGACATTCAATGGGATCTTCGCAGTTGAAATGCGGCGCCTACAACTCGCTGTTTTTTACGCTACAGTTCCGTGAGTCTCAAATCACTAAGAACGCTGCAGTCATGGCCAAAGTCAGCCCCAGCCGGGACTTCGAACCCAAGCCACGCTTTGATCGAGTGGGCGCTTATCCATCACGATCAGGATCCGCTCGCTACGTTCCCGAGTAACCATCGAGCCTGCCACGAGGCAAGCATTGATTGACGTTATGTGGTTGCATAGACGCCACTCGCCATGTAGCGTGACGACAGGGTTCGAGTCGCCTACCGTGGCGTCAAAACTTTTGCTCATAACTCAGCATTCTTGTGGCAACTACACACAGTTGAGTTTGCTTCAACCCTATATCCCTTCCCTTTATCCTTTGAGGTCCTTCCCCTTTATATCGTGTTGAAAGCCCTCACCTTCATTACGCCATTTCTAGTTCATCGTAAGGTCGAGTCGTTTTGAATGCCCCCTTTACGCTATTAGCGCCAAGTAATTTATTAAAGACTTTGGACAAAGAAACCCTGAAGCCTTGAAGAGTAGACGAAAACGGTGAGTTGTAGGCCTAGTTGAAGACAGAATGCACTGTGTTATAAATAATACAGTTCTACGCTTCTGGGTAATGGGTGGAGTATGACATCTTAGCAGTAGTGTGTTCTTCCTCATTAGGCCCACCCTTCTTACCGTGCCATGCAAAATGTTTTGACCAACCTAGACAGATGGCAGTCGTCTCCTGGCCCACCCAGTACCACCAGCGTGAAACTAGCCCGGAAAACGAGTACCTCGAGGCCGCAAAAGGGTAAATTTCAGCCAACACCGTCGATACACTATTTCGGACCGTCGTTATAGCGGGATCATCATCGTCTACATTTACAAAATAAACCAATAATTCCAATCTGTTTCTCTCCACTATCTCCGTATAGAGTTATCATGTGTATCTGCGCCCGAAAAACGTGTTCTGATAGTTTTGGAGCATGAACAAGATGTCAAATAGGCCATATGAAAAGGCGCAGAGTGAAAAATGTATGGCACACCATGTGTGTCACGTGGTCCAGAACGTGTTAGATAACTATTTTGATGAACGTCTGAACTCTCCGAGCATCAGTTTATCAAATTATTCTTTGTGATAAAATGTGAGAGAGTCAGACACTGATAGCCTTGTTTTCGCTCTACGAACATACCTTTGCCACCATGGCACGTTCTCCTGTTCGCGAGTCTCGTGTGCGTACAGTGAATCCGGCTCCGGCGGCTCCCCAGCAGTCGAGGCGGTGGAGGTGGTAGCCATGTGCCGGAAAAAGTTCGATATTCAGATAGAACTTTGGCCATAAAGAAGTCGATAGACGATTAGAACGGTATTCATGCTTAAAAATTATACAGTCGTTGTGATTGAGGTCAGTCGGGACGTGTCTGGGTTTTGGCATGGCGCCAGCGCGCTTTCCATAAGAAGCACAGCAGGAAAAAACTATCATTCAGCCCTTCTTTCGTCCTCATCATGGAATTAATAACAAGGACATGGACAATAGCAAATGGCTCGGCGCTGGTCAAAGCACTTGGTATGCGCCGTGCATTTGATTTTCATTCACGATCGTAGAGGCGTTTGAATGAGCACTATTACCATACAATGACATGTGGGAACCCGCTTATGAAACATTTACGTCCTCTTGCAAGCCTGGTACTGATTGGTCGATATCTGAGGGACGGGCACTCAACCACCTCTACAGGGATTAGGCCGTGGATTAGAGAAAGCAGGTGGCAGCCACACCATCTGATCAGGCGGACAGCATTTCTGCGATATGGGTGGGTGTGGTCCACAAAACGTCCAATAAACTCCCTAATGGTAGTGCTAATAGGCAATAACCATGTATTAGTAGACGTGGCGCTAATAATCTTGGGGTGGGCGACGCCTGTAAGCGCCGTCAGCAATAGAAACCTTGTAAAACATGTGAATACCTGGCAGCCTTGTCAGCAACCTGCAAACTTTGCTATCAACTGTCATGCACCCTGTAAACTTCTGTCAAACTTGTC